ATGATATGATATTATTACTCATGTTTTATTATTTGACATGATAACGATATTATAATAATTAACTTTACTATTATGTCGTACATGCTAGATTATTGGTAGTTATTGTAATGATTAATTTGTCACTGGCAATTGTGTACAATAATTATTAACAAATAGGATACTACTACACTGTTTTTTCCAGGCGCCATCTGTTAGCCGCCTCCCCGAGAGTGTATCTGTGTAAGACGTATTTTATAATACATTGTTTCTCTATACACAATGATATAGTTATTATGGTTGAAACTTAGAGCCAGTGTTATTGATAACAAAATAGGCTTTGGAATATCCTTTTTTAGATTAAAACCAGACCAAACTTGGGTAATTTGAAGCTTCTATGATTTTGTCAACTATCAAAAAAATACTTCCTTTAATATACTACTGATCTGAAAGAAATAGTATAAAGTTGAGCAATGTTTATTCATTTTATTTACTGATTTGATATTCCAACTATTGTTTTACCATTTTTAATCTATGTATAAGTATAGCTTTAGAGTGCCAAAATAAAATATTGTGTTGTTCAACAGTTATAAATACACCTCCGTTTGAACACTTCTTAGAAGTATTAAGTTTATAAACTTTTAATTGTTGGTACTTATATAGTTATATGTTATAGGTTATTACTAAAAATATGGCGAAAGAATCAAAACTACGATCTGAATTAAATAGTTTACAATTTGAATTGGACAAGCAGACTTATGATTTAATGACTGCAGAAAATGAAGCTTTATTGTCTAAAGAAGCTTTACAAGAAATTGTGTCACAGAAATTAAATCCAGCAGATAGCAAACAATTTTTATCTTCAATTAAATTATCTGCTGAACTCAAATCAGCAAAACAAATATCTGAAGGATACAAACACAAATTGAACGAGGCTTTGAAATCAAATCAACAGTTCTTAGGTTAGATATACTAAATACTTTGATGATAATTACTAGTTATAATGTAACAAGCAGAAAAATAATAATCATAATTGATCATTACAGATCATATAGAGGTTTTGAAAAGTGATATAGTAGATTTAGAAAATAACTGTTCAAAATTAGAAACAAAGAATGAAGAATCTGTAAACAAATTGAATATTCTAACAAAGTTTTTTAAAGAACAAGAACAGGAGTACCTTAAGTATGTATATGTAATAAACATTTATTTTTTTAATTTGCATATTTATTTGATTTTAATTTTGAAAGTATTTTAAGAGTTATTAATAGTATGCAATATTTGTTACAGACAAATTAATGAGAAAGCAGTGTTATGTGATGATAAAGAAGGGGAATCTAGTGACCTTAATGAACGTATTAAATCTCTAAACCAAGAAATTTTCAATTATAAGTGAGTACTATACTCAGTTCAGAATAAGAACTCACCGCGCTCGCGAATAGGTAGTGCAAGGCACGTAATATCACGGCAATGGTCTATGAAGTGAGGCAAATGCTCAAACTAGTACCAGATTCTGTCTGCTGCCTTTAATGTAGCTACGCTGAGATTTTATTGCTAAATCTGGTCATAACTACTAAATCGGTGTCAATTTTCTTAACTATACCCAATTAAGTGTAATAATTGTTGAAGTCTTTATAGAAAAAATATTTATTGGTAAAAGAATAACTCTCATCAGAGATACTGACAGTACTTCAGTAGTCAGGTACTCTGAAAAAATATTTACATTTTTTTATTCAATATTCTTAAATATGCATGATATGTTTATCGACATTTGTTAATTTGTATTATATTATAATGCCCTTCTTATATTTATTTTTACTAAACATATATTGACATAATTGTGTATCATTGAATTCAAATTTGTCTTACACAGCATATAAATAACTATTGTACAGTAGAACGGTACCCACATGCCTACCTTTTTAAATTTTAAATTCAATTATTTAACATTTCAAATGGTTTAATTTTTAAGATCAGAAATTCAATCATTAAAGAAAGAAATAACTGATCAAGAAACTAGTTTCAAAATTCAAATATCAGCGGCAGATAAAAAAGCCAGTGATTATTGGGTAAGCTTCTTAAATTTAATTTAATCATATTGAGAGTACAAATTATTATTGTTTTTTTCAAAGATATCATTCAGACAAGCTGAGAGGAAACTTAAAGAAATGGAACTCGAAACTGCACAACTAAGAAATAAATTAACCATGGTTGATAAAAAACTGGAAAATGGTGCAAGTCAGTTAAATTTATAACAAGATTTATTAAAACAAAAGTTCATTCTTCTTAATTTCTTTATTTTGCAGAAAGCATAGATTCGTCCAAAGATTTTGAAGATGAACTGTTAGACATACCATTGCCAACTGTGTCTCCTGATTTCACATTACTTACATTACTTGATTTTGAGCCACCTCCTCCAATTTTAACTAACCAACGGTTACCTCCACTTGGCGCTTTGGGTCAAGCTCCTAGTCCACCAGCTCCTTTATCTAGGAGGCACAATCGATCACTTTCACCTGGTTCTCCGCCACCTTTACAAAGGTCTTCCGCATTTCGACCGTTGGCTCAAAGATATAACTATATGAATCGAGAAAGTAAGAAATAATATCAACATAATATACAAACATCTAATTAATATATTTTTTTATATTCCAGATTCATTGGGTCATTCAGTTGAATCACTTGACAAATAATTATATTTTGCACACATTGTTACTATTATGATATGCAAATTTCTGAAGTTATTTTCAGAATTATAGTTTTTGTTAAGATTAAACGTTTAATTAATTATTATTGGTGTATATCATTTAATTCAAATATTTTTTATTTTTACAAATTATTATTTTTTGGTTTTATGCTTATACATTTCTAACAATTGTTATATATTTTTTCCCTTGTAAAGTTGTAAGTAATTTCACTGTGATTTAATGCATTTTTAAACTATCCGTATAACTACAACTCTTGTGTGTAAAAAGAAAATTTATTTGAACCATATTATTAAAAAATAAATGGTTAAAAGCTGGATCCCTATTAATGATTTCTGTACATTAAACCAGCTGATCATAATTTAACCACCATACAAAATTATATGCCAGTGTTGTATCAATGTAATCAATTCTGTGTGTTGATTTTTACAGTAATTCTCATTTGTAAACACATCTCTGAGTGCTTCACTAATTTTCAACTTTGACTGACGAAAAAAGAAATATATTTTTGTAGTGTAAGGACTAATATTAATGTTGTTTCTAAATGTATTAAATACTCTATTGCTACTGAAATATATTTTGTAAAATATTAATAGGGATTTGGAATACCTAGCAATACCTTTTAAAATATTTTTTAAATTATAAGTATGTTATTAGAACTATGGGATTAAACCCTATTTGCCATTCCAACTCAATGTAAAAAAAAACTTTTATTTATTAATTATATTTGTTTAACATATTTTATAGTTATTTTAAGATTTACTTGTTAATTAAAAACCATTATGCTACCTATGCTAACATCAGGCAAATTTTCTGGGACACGATTTTATTTCCATTATTATTATTATTATTATTATGTACCACTGTTGTTAATGGTTATTACTTATTTCTATTAAAAATTACTTTATGTCAAAATCACTAGAATTTAATTTTGTAACCAATGTTTGTAAATTTAAAGTACAATGGTAAATGGTAATGTAAAAATAGAATTTAAATATTTTATTCAATATAATTAATACAAAATGTCTATCCATATTCCCTAGCACTGACTGTTTAGCACATTAATTCACTCGGTTTTTCATTTAAAAATGTGAATAAGTAATGTTATGTGTAAGCAATTGATACATTAACTCTTGATAGTCATCACTTAAATGTACTAACTTTTAAAAGTTTGAGTTTTAATTCTAAATGTAATTGACAAAAACCTTAAAACATGATTAAACACGACATACATTGTTGCTCAATCACAATGTGACATGAAAACTAAGAGATATTAAAAATAAAAAACTCAATTTATTTGTTGAACAATACAATCATATTTTTGTAACTTGGTATCACATAAATTCATTAATATTCGTGCACCAGCATAGCTACACCCAGTATAAATATTGACTCTGTAGAACTGCACCACCACCGTCGACCTGATTGTACCATATTACAATTTACACAATTTGTTAAGAAATTTGTTGATGAACATCGCCACAGCACGTGGATTGTTCATGTGAACGTCGTGATTGCCGTCCACCATAACGGTACGGAAATGTGGATTTCGTTCGTACATTTCCACAAAGACGTCATACACATCGATGTAGTACGAGTCACTGTCCGACGCCCTGATCAACAGCGTGGGACACCTAACTTTGCTCACCACGTCCCAGTGCTGTGCGCCCGAAAACCACTGACTATATGGCACGCTCAGCCTCACGTTATTAGCCAGACGGTATTCACCAGTGGGTCCGGGCCGGAAGTATCGCGTCATCAACTTCCGGGCGGACTCATCGTCCAGTGGCCCGTAGTGCCGCTGTCTAACGCGATCCAACGCTTCCGGGTAAGCGTATGCCGGTGAAAGATGGCCGCCATCGGTAGTCGACGCTGTCATTCTGTTTTCGAGCCTAAGGAGTTCGTCGGCGGCTCGGCGTGCGCTCCACGTGATCTCCTCAGGATACATGGCCACTGGTCCGGCGGTGTCTAGCAACACGAGCCTCGAAACGTATTCCGGGTAGACGGCGGCGAACAGTTTGGCCACCTGTCCGCCCATGCTGTGACCTAGGCACACAAATGGCGACAACCACTGAACGTGGTCGGCCACTCGCTTGATGGTCAGTGCATAGTTTTCCATCGTCCACCGCGCGCCCAATGGCGTGGCTGACGAGCCACCGTGGTTCGGCCAGTCGAAGCACAGGTACGTGCGGTCGCCGTCCAGCACAGGAATCAGACAGTCGAATGACGCGCAATTGTCCTGATACCCGTGAAGGCACATCACCCGTTCGTCGTGGCCGTCAGATTTCCTCTGTGGGGTCGTCCACAGTTTAGCTACAATTTACAAATCACAACAGAAATTGGTGAAGGGAACTTTTCCACTTTACCGGACACCCCATTTTTGGGAGTCGGAGGAGTTGGATAAGTCTAAATCTAAGCTAACTTAACTAGTAACCTAACCTAGGTTTTAGGTTTATATTATCAATACTGGTAGGTATTTTTCTTTGTTTAATTTATTCGTATAGTAGTATTATGCTATTATCATATAACATGACGCACAAGGCACAAATATATACAAATTTTGGAGTATCGTAACTTCGAAACTAAGTCCTACCGCCAAATTCTGATTTCATCATCGTTTTCAGTATACGTATCTACATGCATTTTAAAAAAAAGTCGAATAAAGGATGGTAAATTAGAAATATACCATGAAAGTAAATTTACCGCTATAGCCTATAGGTATAGGTCCAACATGGTCTGAGAATAAGACAAATTTCAAAAAAAAAACTGAGGATACCACTGCCAAGTTGAATAGCCAAAAAAAACTTTTTATATATAAGAATATATAACTATAGTTTAAATCGGCCTCAGATTTTAAAGTAACTCAGCATAAACATACATTTTAATCTAAGCGAGTTTTAGAAATATGTTGACGATTAATACCTACAGATTCTTATATTTTATAATTTTAATTTTAAATATCGGAGTCCAAATCCAATGCAAACTAATAGGATAGTCTATATATAATCAAAATCTGACGATCAAAAGAGGTATAAGAGGATTTCCACAGAAGCAAATTTTAGCATTAACAAAATAACAACGCATCGCACGCTAAATTTATGAAAGGTTTCACACGTCAAAGCGCAACATGCGAAATGTTTACCAGTCGCATAGCCACATACAAGGCCGTAGCCAAGGTGGGGGGGGGGGGGACTACAATCTTGGCCACATAGGTTTATAACTATTAACTATATAGGCTATCGAAATATTCTCGTTTCTACTTTTTGCCATACCTATTGGCTAATTCATCGTTTACTTTACCTTTTTGCTTTCACCTATACTTTAATATAAATATACGACACATAATTCTGTGGATTAATCCCATACAGAATGACTTGCCTCGCTATTCAATATAATTGAGCAACCTGCGACCCACCCACATCGATACTATTAATAGACTTAGGTATACATAAAAATTTAAAAAAATATACTTGTTTAAAACAGGCTTTTCAATTTTGTAATTTTAGGCATTGTAAACTAATATAAAAATCTTTACACACCGCAGCGGTCGATGTAAAAATGCAGCCCGAAACAATTCACTGCCAAGTCAGTACCAGTACCTATACCTAGGTACCTTAAATAATACCTATATAAATATTCAAGTGTGAATATAGTGTAATACGTATGATGGGGCCCACACATTTGGGAGGAGAAGGAGAACTGTTGGACCTCAAGTACAGACAGGCCGGTGCATATGCATTTTATACATTTAAAGTGTATCTTTATATATTTAATAAGTATTTATCTTAGGGGCAGATTTATGGGTGGTGACGTGGCGATAACCCTTGGGTTATTTAAAAAAAAAAATTTTATTACCTAATTAATTTTAAAATTATTTGATATTTATTATGTATAATAATACGGTACTTTATATTAATACTGACTACTGCTTTTGCTGAACGCAGCTTTTCTACTTTGAGCAGGTTAAATAACCCATTACTCATTAGCAACGTAGTAAAATATCAAATATTTTATGTGCCAGGAAAAAACTTAACACACTTAAATGATTTTATTTGCTTTTTTACTATTAATTGTTACTTTGTTGATTACATACTCTATTGTAAGCTTTAGATAATTGTTGATAATTTATTGTCTTATGTTTATCATAAATCTTATAAATACACGAATAAAAACATCGGCATCCAAATTCCAAAATGCTTAACATGTTTGCTTATTTCTTACTGTTTTTAATTTGTAGATTAAAAACCCGATTAAGATCACGAATGACCGAAAGTAGATTAACTGGATCAGCTTTAATGCACGCCCATAAGGACATTGTTGTAAATAAAGAAGACGTTATCAATAGGTTTGCAAATGAAAAAAAAAGAAATTTAAAATTGTTTTTATAAATTGCGATTAATATTTTTGAGTGAGTAATGAATTTGTATACTATACTTTAATTAAATAATGGTACCTACAGTCAATTATAACTTAAATAAGCATTGTACTTACTAGTTACTACGGTCAAGTCTTCATTGTATCTACTTTTTATATCACTCAAAAATAATCCTACTAGTCCCTCCTCCTTATACAAGCTTCAGATCCACCTCTGATTTATCTATATTGAACAACATGAACATACAATAACAAATCATCCGTCTTTTGGTAATGACATATTATAAATATATATATTTTTTTTTTATTGCTATATTATACTACAAATTCAACCGTTATAATTATTAGGTACTTATTAAGTACTAAACACTAAAATATAACATTATGTTTGAGCATGTGCTGAAGTTACAACGATTTCAGTTGTTTTTATAATGTTCTTGCAAAAAGTCGACCACGTGTTTGAATACCCTGTCTGGATAGTTTAAGTGCACGTCGTGGTCGCCGCTGACCACCCGGATGGTCACGTTCGGCCGTTTGCTGTTGAACTCATAAGCGTCCTTTAGGTACGTGGAGTACCGGCCGCAGTTCTCGTCGGCCAGCACGAACACGACCGGACATGCGATGGCGCTCAGAATCTGCTTCTGTTGGTCGAACGTCATCAATGGATAGAACGCCAATTTCAAACGCTGGTCGCTGGCGAACGTGTACTTGTCTTCGTCGCCGTCCACGCGGGCCAACGCTCGACCTGCCAGTATACGCGCCGATTCGTCGGTCAGCTTGGACGGCCGGCTGGCCATCATTTTGGCTATCGCCTCGCTGAACGAGTACGATGGTGGCTGCCGACCACACTGTCGCCGGTGCAACGACTGTGCGGCATCGATCCTGCCACGCACCGCAGCCAACGTGTCGCCCATGTCAACCGACCGGGGCCCCATGGTGTCCAGCACGATCAGGCACTTGACGCGTTCCGGATAGACGCCCGCCAACCACGAGCCCAGCTGTCCACCAAAACTGTGTCCCAGATACGCCAGCTCGGGCCAACCGAAATGGTCTATTACCCATTTGATCGCAGCCAAAAAATTGGTGAACTCTAGCGGCACGTGGGCGGGGAAATGGTCGGAACCACCATGACCGGGCAGGTCTATGCACACGTAATAGTAATCATCGGGCAATGATGGCAGCAACGTGACGAACGTGTCGCAGTTGTCTTGGATCCCGTGCACGCAAAGAACAGCAGGACGAGTGTTGTCGCCGTAAGCTTTTGCTGTAAATAAAATTCATTTCGATAAATGTCGATGATAGATCGTGCAAGTGGGTGTTAGACTTGGCGAATGTCTGCTGCAGAAACCATATTAATATATTGTAAAAAAAAAAAATCAGGAAGAAAATAAAAACCACGAGGTTAAAAGAAGAAAATAGTAGTTTTATTAAAAATAAAACACAGCTATACATTTTATAATGTGAATATAGCTTCAATTAGTTTCACAGTGCATGAAAATTTGAAATATATAATACAGAAAGTTAAAACCGACAAGTTTTCACGAAATTTCAAAATATAAAAAAATACATAACTATAATACCCAGCCAATGACATAGACACCCTAATATAGACCCTCTCCTTGTGTGTCAGGGTGATATATCCTTAACGTTATAGTATACAAATCAGAAATCACCATTATAAACTATAAAACTGTGTAAAAACAAAACATAAAATTGTAAAAATCGAAAAAAATTCCCTAAGCCTGGTCACTCACGTCTTATATAATATATTAACGTTATATACGCCTTTATAGCATCACCATAACGGAGATTTAAATTTTGTTGCGTTCGGTCAGCAGAAATGTATTGATCAAATCCGCTATCCTTTCTGGATGGTTCAAGTGTACGTCGTGATTCCCGTTTACTTTAACCAAACGGACATTCGGGTTGGACTTGTACATTTTCCTCGCCAATTTATTTTCTGGAGTCTTTTGCAGCGGGTTTTCCGTGGCGCGCAAGTGCAAAACGGGACACCGGATGCTGTTCACCACGGCCATGTACTGAATCGGTGTAAACATTGGATTGTAGGACACTTTGAGCCTTTGGTCCATGCTGAACGCATGACGTCCGTCCGGGCGGTCCACCAGGGACCGTTCAACTAGCACGTTGGCCGAATTTCTGGTCAACTTGGACGGCCGTTTCGTCATCAGTGCGTCGACGGCCTGTTCACGTGTGTACGACGGCGGTGATCCGCTTTTCGCCTTCCTCTCAATCGTCAGCAGACCATCGCACATAATTCGCAGCCACTTAACCGTGTCCTGTGCGTGTACAGGCTCCGGACCCGCGCAGTCGATCATCACTAGGCTGGCGACGTGTTCCGGGTACAGAGACGTGAACAGGCTGGCGATAGCGCCACCCATACTGTGTCCAATGCACTTGAATCGGTCCCATTTCAGGTAGTCGACGACCCGTTTGAAGGCCAATGCATAACACTCCAACGTAATCCGGAAACCAGGAGGAAAATGCGATGACCGACCGTGTCCCGGCGTGTCCACGCACACGTAATAAAAACCTCGACAGAGCAACGGGATAAGCGTGTCAAATGTACCGCTGTTATCCTGTATCCCGTGTAGACAGAGTACTCGGGCGTCAGAACAATGGCCCCAAGTTTTGGCTGAAATTAAACACATTGATACACTACGTTGACTGGTTTGTGTTGTTAACGGGGTCGGGATAGCATTTAAGTTTACAGTGATGTTAGCTCGGCAGAAACGCCGTTTGATACCCTTTTGCGTCCTACTTTGTGTACTTTTGTGTCTTTACTATTGGTTGTATATAAATCGTTTATTTATTTATTTGTTTTTAAACTAGTAACTATCGATCCTAAGGTACTTTTATTATTATTATTATTTCGCAATACCTATATTAACGAAGTCAATGTTGAAGCTTTTCAAAACTTTTTGCGCGAGATGGTATAAAACATTTTTTAATCGGTCCCCAGACTTCAGAGTAAAGCATATACGAGTAAACTCCAGTCCAGTATACTTAGGCATACTAAAATAACATGTAGTTCATGTAGTTTTTGAGTCATTTTAAATTATTTTTAAAATCGTAGGACAAAACATTAGATACCTAAGTATAAACGATGTTTTGTTTTTAAAGTTATCCTTTCCTCCGAGTACAGACACAACCCGGTAGGTTAGATTGTAAAAGTAAAGGTGGTGGATGGTTTTATCCGGTTTTTTCTGAAAAAAAATTTGCTGCACTATTTTTTCCACCCTATACTACGTAGCTTTGTTTTATTTAGAGCTCATTTGGCCTAATTTTTAACAGAAAAATCAGTTAGGTCAAATGACCTAAAAAAATGTTTTAGATGTTTTGGGCTCAAAATACATACGCCCGAAAGGCAGCTAAAATCATCGATTTTTAAATATAAAAACACCTTATGACAAACACAAACTTAAAGGAGGACTTTTTTAACCATCGACAATAACCAACTATTTCAAATTTGCGTTTGGATAATTTTTATTATCACTGTCTACTGCTATAAACTGTACAAATATTTTTTTTTGTTTTAAAAAGCTATACAGTCAATAGAAATTACAAGTTACAAATTACAAACGTTTGTAGGAAAGTAACTAGGTTTTCTTTAAATTTTATAATTTTTACTATTTTATTTGGTGTTTATTTATTTATTATTTATTTCACAAGGAAAATTTTTTAAATTTCTATTGAATACTAGTGTGTGATTGATTGTTATTTTAAACTTTTACCCTCAAATAAAAAAATAATAATTACATTTTTTTTAATCAAAGTTTAATTGGAAAAATAAATACTACCAGGTAGATTTTTCTGAAAAATAAAATAAGTTAAAAAAAAATGTAGAGTGAATTCAACCAAGAAAAGCAGCCTGAACTTGTCGGGTTTTGCACCCAATGATTTTTTTAAATCTGTAAATACATGCAAGACGTGTACTTGTTGTACCTACCAATTATGTAAATTATTAAAATACAGGATTATAAAATATTATTATATGATACTTGCTTAATATAGGTAATGTATACTATCTAGAAACTTCAAAGCTATGAAATATGAATCCTAAAATTTATCATTAATTTTTACTATTCAATATTGAGAAACTTGGTTAGGTACCTACCTTAAACATATTTTATTTAAAAAATAACCTATGTCCAATAGTTAAATTATTAAAGTGTAAATTATAGCCTATTGCGGTAGTAAATCTATGAGTATAATATTAAACACGATATAATACTTTAAAATACTTATATGTCTATTAATTGTATTATTTAAAATGATACATTTTATTTTTAGTATAAGTAATGATAAGGAATTAAATATTAATAATTAATTAAATACATGCATACCAATATCATCTTAAAAATTGTAACATTTACATTTTTTTTATAATTTTATTATACATATATATATATATTCTGAATACAATCAAATATTTCTATTTCTTCAATATGATATAATAAATTAATTATACCCCAGCTTAAAATTTAAAATTGTAAATGTATAGGTACCAATTACTATTAGTAAATAGCTAATGTATTAAGAATCAGAAGATTTCTTAATTGTCTACAATAATTTCTACATTAGATTTTAAATTTAAAATGTTAATCCTATACCTATAAAAAATGTGGTCTTATTGAATAATTTGAATGCATGTACTTATTCTAAATATTTTATCAACCTCAGAATAAAATACATAATAGTATACACCTATGTGGCCATATAGCAGTTTCACAAACAACTTTATTCTAATACAACATTATACTTAAATACCTAATTAAATACAAATTACTTTATGGCTTATAAGTTCCAAAAATTATTGACAAAACTTACCGGCAATATGTCCCCAAGGAACCGGTATTGAAATCTCTTGTGGATTCATTTTGGAAACTCAATTAGCACGGTTATTACTGAAACCCTAATATCAAACGCGTTTATTTATATTTTATATTCTAATTGTTGATATAAATGTATAAGAATAACATTGACTGGTTCACGAAAACATTACTATTACACTATTTTCAATGGCTATAAGGTTTTAATATCCGTCAGCAGTACCGGTAGTCAAGTCACCTACAGGCTACAGTATGATAAAATAACCATCTCCGAACATCATTCGTATTTTTTAAATCGTAAATCTTTATTGACTATTGAGCTCATTCTATTGTCAAACTGTCATAATATGTATATTTAATTTTTAAGTTACTTTTTATTATTTTAACGATAGTATTAGAGACTTACTACTTAGAGTAGTATACAGGTCATTACAGTATTACAATTACATGCATAAACAGAATTATAGATAAAATAACGCGCATTAATGATAACAGTGTTGATGTTATAAAATGGTGGGGCCACGGCCACGGTTTAAAATCTACAGGTTAGCTATCGCCCGCCAACAAAGCGGTACAAAAGTGTTACGGTTGACTGGTACACATTTCTAGTTTCTACCACTAGTATAGGGCGCTAGTAATACGTAGGACGTAGGTTACTTTATTTTGTTTTGCTATTGAACTATTTCATAATTATTAGATAGTTAAATCTTAAATGGTTTTGACGGATAAATGCATAATTGTACGTTGTTAATAATAAATCGCAATATGCAAGTAAAGCATAATCAATAAAACATATTAATAGAGCTACGTACCTTATAAAAACTTGGAATTTTGCTATTATTATGTTTTATTCTTAATTATAGTGTAGGTATTGATTAATTATAATTTATAAATATCATTACAATGTGTTTGTGTTATGTGTATTGTGTATACAAATATTTTAACAAAATACGTATACCTAGTTAATTTATGCATATTATTTTATATTTTATAAATTCTAACAAGTAGGTATATGGACTTTTATTGCAGTCTTGGAGGGTATTGTGAATACTTTTAAAATGATTTTTCCAAAAGTATTCTGAAAAACTATTTAGAATATTTTTTAAAAGTATTTCATATTTTCATTCCTATAAAAGAGTCTTTTAGAAACCTTAAAATATTCTAAATATTATGTAAAATGTAAATATACTAATAGTATAGTTATAGTAGGTATATCTTGAGAATTTGAGAATTGTTTATTTTTATAGTATTTCTACAAAAAGATAATTGGTGTCTGGTGATAGCTACAAGGCCCGAGGGTACATGAGTGATTGAGTGAATCGTCTATAATATTTTCTAGCATGTTTTTTTTATTGGCAATTATCTTGGACTGCAAAACGATGCATTCGCATTACAAAATAGTTGCTTAAAATATATGTAACCATGACACCTAACCACACAACACGCACGAGGCATTATTTAACTGTTACACTCGTTACATACTGCGGTACGACAGTTTAGACTTAATAACAAAACTTTGAGGCATTAAATTGTGCATAACATAATATAAAGATGGCTATATAAATATATAAGTTATCTAACCTGTATAGTGTATATCTTAAACCGTGGCCATGGCTAATGATAAAATTTAACTTATCTTGATGTTCGTGCACAGCTGATGTATACATTCTTATTTCTTAGATCATATACTTGAATGCTTCATTTACTAAGTATAAGTATATACAATACGTATACCTAAGTATAAGTAATATGTTTATACTAAGTACATAACTATATAAGTATGAATGTTTGATATAAGTACAGCAAACTGAAGAGCCTAAATAATAATATATGAATTAATAAGAAACAAAAAATAAAATTATCTAGGCTCTCATATAATAATATAAACTAACAAGTATTATAGTAAGTAATAACTATAAAATAATATGACCGTATTATACGTAAAATGCACTGTAAATGTCATTGGATAATGTCTTTAAAATGTAAACGTAGGTAGGTACTTAATATTATGATTTATGTCATTGTTTATGTACTTTATAGGTACTAAAGTATATATTGTATTGTAGTTGTAGTACCTACCTATCTATTTTCTGTAGATGGTAGATCTGGGAGGCCGAAACCTAAGACATAGAATAATATATTTAAGTTGTAAGTGTGCTCAGTGATTACAGAATAAATGTATTTTGTCAGGATGTAGTTGGCATAGTCCGTATATGAAAAATGCAGCCATATAGGACATAGGTAGTGTTTTATAAAATAAATCGTACCTAGCCACCTAGGTACTACCTATATTATATAAACTTATACTGACTTACATTATGGTATAAGTATTGAATTTTAAAAAATGAATACATATCAAATATTTGATGTTCTTGTACATCATTGAAACCAAAAAACTATTGAGCTTAAACCAAATATATACCTTCAATACGAATCTAGGAGAAAGTTTTTTTTTGATTGGACAGTGCAGTGCCGTTGCTGGATTTAAAGTCTCATTGGCTGCAACTAACTAGAACCAAATAGATGGATGCTTATGGCTAAATGGCTTACCAACTAATCTATTGTGGAAACCTTCAATTTGGTTATTTGTACTCTCGATTATATGTAATGTACTTTCGTGTACATTCCAAATTGCAGGTCGAAAAAAAGATGGAACTTTTCAGAATTTTAATGTATTTCCTTAGCCAATACCTACGTGTAACGTGTCTATACCTATGTCCCATTTACGTATGTTCGATCAAAATATTCCACCAAGTCATATGTTTCTTCGGCCATGATTTTACGTAAATGAGACATTTTTTGTTTCTACTCTTAAAGTAGTTTGCTATATAGGTATAACATATTAAAAAATGGTTATGAAAATAATCAATAAATGAAAAGAAGGAAAGGGCTAAGCTACAGGATAAACACGTATATTTTACGCTTCTCACTGATTAAGTAAAATATCGAAAATATCTCGAGTGATTAAAATTTTTTGAAAAAAACAAAAATGTGTCGTTTGCCTTTTTTTCCGATTACCGTCAATACATTCGCCTCTCCCCTAGAACTTCGAGTTGTCGATTGCTAACTGAACTTGAATCATTGCTACCTAGTACCTGATACACAAAAATATAATATTTTAAATTTTAAATAATAAAAAAATCTTCTTTAATTATACTGCTGTTCACTGTTCAATCACTTCAATCATCACATAATGAAATATATACTTTTTTTAATTTAAAAATACGCCTCAACTACCAGGGTAATTGGCATTTCTGAAGAAGCATTACATATTTTTATGATTTATAAAATACATTACTACTAAAGAGTTAAGTTGTTTACGAAATATCTTAAAATGATACATCAAGGTTTAGGTTATTGAAAATACATGTGATGTTATAATCTATGTGTTCTTCCTATATTTTCTGAAATACGTTCGTCTCTTTGAGATTCCAGAAAAGTCGATACCTATTCTCTCTATTTTGGGTGAAAGTATTTCGCATATATTGTGTGGGAGCATCATCAAAATAAAATAATATATTGTTTATGATCATAATAACTTTAATTTATTGATCTGATCTCAATATTGAACTTATAAGTTATAACTTATAACTATTGAAATATTGCATATATCACAAATGGAGGTTATGATTTAAGAATATTTCAATATTAATATATTATATAATTGGTTTTTATGAAATCAATTATTAACAACTAAACTATTAAGAAAACATATTTAGTGTCAAATTAGTAATTACCAAAATCTTTTCAAATGAGTTGCTGAATATTTATTCAGATACTTTATTTGATGTTCCTATAGTTGTTGAATACTTTTATAATTTGTAGAAGAATAGAAGATGCTTAAGTATAATTAAGTAATATTGCTAAATTAGTTATTTTGACATTTTTACATTTGCTTAACTATAGCGCCAAATATAAAATCTGATTAGATTAGTTTAGAACATCTTTGACTTATGCTTAGAACGTCTTTATCACAAGTTCGCTGGTTGTACAGCTGTTATTTTATCACTTGACCTGACATTCATATTTCATAGTTCGTATTACTACTTTGAGTTTAATACCTCGTTAATCATTTACATTTTCATCTTGTATTTTACAATAATTTAAACCAATTTTATAAATAAAAAATCATCAAAATGAGCGGGGCAGTGAAGAAAGTCAGCTTAATTAACTGTAAGTATTAGTTCCTTTACCAAATCTCAAATGTTAATTCTCAAAAATAAAATTATTATTTTAATAGTATGTTCTTATATATTTTGTAGCAATCATTGCCACAGCCAAGCCCAACTTACAAACTTTTGTGAAATACGCTAAAGTAGAGTTAACTCCGCCCAAATTTTCTGATTTGCCTGAAATAAAAAACGAGATATCTAAAATAATACAAACAGCTCGAACTGGACGTTGGAAGAATATTACCGTTAAGGTTGGTTCATGTGATATCTTAAATGTTTATATTTAAAAAAATATAGTACATATATATATATATAATTTTTTAAATAACTATTCTGTTATATTCAATACACTGAAGAATGATTAACCATCTATAGCTCTTTGGGACTTGACAATTTATATTTAAACCATTCAATAATTTGAAGTTTAAACAATTTATTGGTATTATCTTATCCATAGTTTCAATTTCAATATTTTTAATTTAGTATTCTTTGTTAATAAGTTATTTGATACTATTTCCTAATTATTTCTAACAAATAATGATGTATATGTCTGTCTCACGAGAGAAAGGTACCGTTTCGCTCTTACAATTTGAGCTCCGCGCCGCTGCCAAACCATCGAATCCCCTCTACATGCAATCTACGTATATAAATAGGCATGTGTTTACTCACTAATCTACCATCTAAGGTCTAGCTGCTGCTTATGTGTACCAGGTAGTGGTGATGACAAGGTGATGGATGGTGTGGGGGATGCGCAATAATGACCGGATTTTGTCGAGACGCGGTACCTTTCTCTCATGAGACCGACTTTTATAGTTTTATTGATTGAAATCAAATTTGTTACAATGGATTTCTCATACATGCCTTGTTTTTAATTTTTCTATTTTGAAATATATTGTGTTTTTAAATATCATTATTCATACATATTTTACATATTGTATTATATTTTACAGGATGCTACAGTCAAATCGCTCATCGCTCTTGAAGTATATATGTGGTTCTACGTCGGTGAATGTATAGGAAAGAGGCACTTAATTGGTTATGATATCAAGTTATAAATGTATTCCTGTAATTTAAAGTAAATTATGCTTCTTCAGATTGTATACAATTATTTTGTATCTAGAAATTATAATATTTTGTAGGAATTCAACATTTTTATCATTCAAATTAATATGTAAACATTTCTACAGTTATATAAATAGTAAATGGTAAAAAACAGTATTATTCCCTTTTTTTATTTATAAAGATTATATCCTACAATTATAACAATGAAAATCCTTCTAAAATAATTGCTCTTACTCTATATTGTTTATTATTTTATGATGGTATGTAAGGTTAATATTATAATAATTAATATTCAAAACATAAATATGTTAGATGCAGATAATTTTAATGTAGTAAGGTATCTAGTTAAAATATCCATTTGGCCTATATTTGATTAAGCTTACCAGTAGCTACGTGCACACCAACTAAAAATTGGAAAAAATATTACAGACTCACTTCATAATTAAATACTTTATTATACACTTATGAAATAATATTTATTATATATATATATATATTATAATTACTTTTTTTATAATCAATAATTATACTATAATTGTATAACTATATCATACAATTATCAATGATTATACAATGGTCAATGAAGTAATTATATAATAAATATTGTTCAATCAGTATATGAAAAATTATGAAGTTTGTCCATAATATTTTTTCCAATTTTCAGCTGGTGAACATGTTGCTAAGGGTAAACTTAAGCACTTCAAATTCTGTTTGCATTCCGGATGTTTACATTCTTCTTCAATACCATTGAATTGCATACACGTACATCTTTGATCCTAAAGAAATGTAGTAATATAATAATTATGATTTTTTAGTAATTGAGCTTCATTACCACATGGAACACTTCTTTATAAAGTGCAAATGTTGTTCTCCTGGAAAACAATGGCTCGGATAATAGTTTAAAACCATCTATAGTAGGTATAGGTGATAAGAGACAGCATCCACTTTCTTGATATTTGATTCTCTCCAATGGGTTTATTGACGAACCCAATACTTCACACCTTCTCCATAGTTCTTGGCATGTTTTGGGTTGTGTTTTCTGTGTATTACTATAAGTATTTGTGTTAGCCAAATCACGCATTTCAGAGTTTAACTTAACATTAGTTTGGCCTTTGCACATTGCACAGACAAATCTGATTTAGCGGAATTTTTGATGTAATTTATGGCTAAGGAACTCTTAAGCCCCGCCCAGACCATCGAAAAATTTGTCAGTGACGATGTCAGAAACATATGTTGCCTTCAAATATTTCTCGGTGTGGATCGGGCTTTAAATTTGGCTGTTAATAATTAATTTTATATTGAATAATATTAATTTTTAGGCACAATTATAAAGAATAGCATATTAAAAAAAACCATACTACCTCAAGAATAGGTTAAATAATAAATATAACAAAATTTGAGTTCAAACAATTTCAATAGCATGTGTAATTAAGTATTTAAACCCTAGAAAAGAATATTTAGCTTAAATTTGAAAAACTGATTTCCTGATAAAACTTTTACATGTATAGCTATATAATACATATCTATGTAATAAAAATGAAATGCTCTGTTGGGAATGGTTAAGAGTGCTAGACATATTTAGCACATTTTTTTAAAAAACTTTATAGAGGTCTGAATCCATAGAATCTATTAATATATAGACTGCGTGTCTCCCATACCATACCTCAGGGCATAGGTTGCCAAGTGCCAACATTGTAAGAAAGAGTTAGTCTATGCCCGTGTAATAGAACGGAGCTTAACTATAAGGTGTATGCTACCAATTTCTAAAATTTTGTTATCTTTGTTGTTGAACCTTTGTTTAGCATTTGTGCTTTCTCACTCTGGCTATTAATGGATATAAATGGAACCCGAGTTGTATGCTTTTTTGTTCTAACAATGTTGGCCCCTAGTCCTCTTTCTATTATTAGTCCATTTCTCCATAAGTCTATGCCTGAATCAGGTATTACTGAATGAAAAATTGGAAAAGTTATCCAGGATGGACACACATTATATTTTTTGGGGATGCACGAGTCTACTGTGTATCCTTAAAAAAATAAAAACCTTTTTCTAGTATAAATTGATTATTTTGAAGTAAAAATAGGTAGGTACTTTGCTAATATGTTCTCAACGTCAACTATAACATAATATTACAAAATATTCTTTATAAAATAGCTTATTTAATGTTGCGTAGGACTGGTAACAGATATGTGAATCCATGAACCAAAGTCCGGTTTATTTATTATCGGTTTAGTTTATCGCTTGTTGGCGACTTTATTAAGTTGGGGCACCTAATACTATTATCTTTTTCCTGACCCCAGGTTTTTGCATGTCGATTTCGAAAAAGCAATAATTACAGCGGCTAGTAATATTTTTGGTTCGGAATTAGAAATTAGAGGGTGTTTTTATCATCTATGCCAGAGTACCTTTTCTCAAAATCCAGGATTTATGTTTACGAAACATGTATATGAATGATGACAAATTTAGTCATTTTTGTTCGATGATTGATAATTTGGCATTCCTACCCCTTGAACGGGTGCACGAAGGAATGGATTTTTTAAAATAAACAAGCATTTCTGAAGCGCATGGATTGTTGAGTTACTTTGACACCATGTTAATGGTTCATATAGGAGAGTTGGTGCTGGTATGAACATAAAATTAAGAAAAACTAATCCCTTATTCCTACCAAAAACGTGGAATGTCTTTAAAGCCACATTAAATAGTGAACACAGAACTAATAATATATGTGAAGCATGGAACAATCGCTTCACACACTTGGTAGGTCATAGTCATCCAACAATATGGGTGCTAATTAAAAAAATCAAGTTAGAGATTGGAGCCGATAGGGCAAAAATAGCATTAAGCAGTACAGGACAAACCATGAAAAAATCAAAAAACATCAGGCTTGAAACATTATGCAAGCGAATTCATAACTCCGAGCTAAGTGTTGAAGAGTTTTTAACTCAAGTGGGACATAGTATTAGGACATTGCCAAGGTTATAGGCTAAGGATATAGATTTTTCATTCTGAATTCAAATGTAATAATTGTATTATAAATTATTGCTATTATTTTAAATAACATTAATGTTTTCTTGTACGACATAAAATTTTATTTTTGTATATTTTATTTTTAATAATATTTAGTAAAGGAGAGCTAGGGCACGTTATCAAACTTCTCGTTTACCCTCCCACAGAGCACTTTACAACAAACTTTCTAATTCGCTTAAGAAACAACTTCTTAAATACAAATCTGACATATTCGAACAAAAGCTTTCCAATTTATCCTCTTCTGACGGCAGCCTCTGGAGGGAAACAAATAAACTCCTACAATACAAATCTAGTTTACCACCTTTAACCAAAATTGACAATTCTATTGCTATAACTGACGAGGACAAGGCGGAGACGTTTCGTCAACATCTAGCGGAGATATTTAAGCCACATCCCGATGTAAATAATCCAAATCTCACCTCTAAGATTATCCAGTACTTAGATTGTCCCATGCCTCTTCATCTCCCTGAAAAGTGTTTTACACCAAATGAAATAAAAACAGCAATACAAAAATATTCCACCAAAAAAACACCAGGCTTTGATCTTATTACTGCAGAAGTTGCTAGATGTCTTCCGAAAAAAGCTATCCTATTCCTTACCTATTTATTTAATGCAACCTTGCGGCTTTCATACTTCCCACTCTTATGGAAATTTTCAAACATAATCATGATTCCTAAACCAGACAAACAACCTGATCTGCCTTCCTCCTACAGACCAATAAGTCTATTACCTTTTCTAGGTAAGATACTAGAAAGACTGATACTTAAAAGGCTATTACCTTACATTTCTATGTACAAGATTTTACCTGACTCGCAATTTGGTTTTCGCTCAGCTCATAACACAATACACCAGGTACATAGACTAGTTGACGCAATCTCGTGCTCCCTAGAAAACAAGCATTATTGCACTTGTGCCTTTCTCGACATTAGCCAAGCGTTTGATAGAGTTTGGTACGAAGGTTTACTTTTTAAACTAAAAAAATTTCTGTCTCCCTGTTTATATTTATTAATTAAGTCTTATATAAGCGACCGCCATTTTCAAATCCGGTTTGGCTCCTCAGTATCCAAAATCGAGAAAATCTTAGCTGGAGTTCCCCAGGGCGGAATCCTCTCTCCCTTTCTTTTTAATATCTACACTTCTGATCAACCTATCTCACAGAACACTACTGTAGCTGATTACGCGGATGACAAAGCCATCATATCAATTGACAAAAACCCTATTACGGCCTCGGCAAATCTCCAAACTCATCTCAACCTATTGTCTGTATGGTACACCGATTGGCGCATTAAACCTAATCCCACTAAGTCAGTACACACAACATTCACTTTATGCCACTCCATTTGTCCAAATGTCTATTTAAATAACATACTTATTCCCACAGCTGACTCAGTTAGATATCTTGGACTTAACTTGGATAAGCGCCTCACCTGGAATAGCCATATCCGTATAAAACGACTTGCTTTAAACGCCCGTCTTCGCAGACTACGAACGCTACTCACAAATAACAAACACTCCAGTTTAAAAATTAAAGTTCTTATGTATAAAACATTACTCAAACCTCTATGGACATATGGTCTCCAACTATGGGGTACAGCAAAAACGTCCAACACAAACAAAATTCAGCAATTTCAGAATATTGCTCTTCGAAAAATTACTAATGCTCCACCCTTTGTTTCGAATTACACTATACATAATGACCTGTCAATAAAAACTGTGACAGAAGAAGCTATACGTTTCTACAAAATCTTTCATGCCCGGCTGCAAACACACCATAACCCACTCATTAAAAACCTATCCATCCAAACATTACCTGGCAACCCCAGGCGTCGATTAAAAAGGAGATGGTGCCGTGATTTGTTAGGGAA